GCTCAGCCTCCAGACCCGGCTCTCTCATCTGCACAGTGGAGACAGCACCCAACCGACAGCTCCCCACCCCAGGGGAGAGGAGAGCCTCTGCACAGCATGTCACCAGTCCATGGGGAAAACGCCCATGGGGAGGCCCTGACGCGGGCCTGACACGGGCCTCACCGCACTCCCTGGCATCCCCCCCACCCCACCCCCCACTGGGCATGTTCACATTCCTTTTCCTAAACCACAGATGAGACAGGATTCGACAATAACATGCGCGAGCCACCTGGAAGCTTGTTTCACGCATTCTTCTCACGTCCCCCCCTTCTTCTGGGGAAACTTAAAGCCAGCTCGCCACATGTCATGCCACACCGGGCGTGGTGTCACACTGTCGGAGACTTGATCACAGCACATCCCTGCCTGTCCCGGGCACCACGCGCCAAGGAGCAGCTGCTGGCACCGCCTTGTCCCACGCCACTGGCCGTCAAAATATGCTGGTTTCCAAACATCAGAGGGCCGACGCCCAGGGGTCTTGTGTCGTGTGTGTACATGTATGTGCATGTGTGTGAGACCCCTGCTGGGGAGACAGTCCCTGTTCATCGCTCCTCTTGCCCACCTCCTGGGGTTTACGATGTGGCCTTCTTTGAATGATTAACGGAGGGCAGAAACTAAGGAGTCAGTTCTGACTTCAGAGGCAAAGAGAGAGTTTCTGAGACACACGGCCCAAGATGCAAACATTGACGGGCAGAATCCCTGGGCACAGCTGTGACTGGCAAAGGAAGGCAGGCAGGAGGGGAAGCTGCTTCCTTACCTCTTGCTGCCAGACTGAGCGTCTTGAACGAAGTTAGAACTGTGCTTATTGATGGAATAGTTAGTGAGATGCATGCAGATATCGTCCTGGGGAAAGAAACAGACGGTGGGGGTGGGCAGGAGGAGGACAGGTCCCCACAGCCTCTCTGCCTCCCCCCATCTCTTCCCAGCCCCCGGGGCTTAAAGAGATGGAAGAGAAGGGGTCGGTGGGCTCACTTAAACCGGCAAAAGCGAGGAAGCAAGCGGTGTCACAGGCCTGGAGAGGACGCTCCAGGTCCTCCTGAGACTGGGCGGTGTCCTGCCTGCGGAAAGCTGGGGCTGCAGGCCAGGCAGGGGCCGCCCGTGGCTCTCTCCCTCAGCACCCTGGGCCTGAGACACTCGCCTCTTCCGGCTCTGGGACTCTGCTGGGGCCCCTACACTCTCGGTTTCCATTTCCTCATCTGTCGCCTGGGAACGGTCATCCCTGTTTCCGAGGCCCCTGGAGGGCCAACGTGCACAGGACGTGTGCCACAACAACAGCCATGCCGCGCTGCCTCAGAAAAGGTTCGAACTCGGGTTTCCGTCACACTCAGGGGAAGGGGGTGCCGGCATGTCCCCCGAGCTCACCAGGTTGTCTGTGCAGGGGTGGGAGTAAGAGGTGGTGGCAAAGCGGGCCAGTCCTTCATGGTACACAAAAATCCTGAGAGGGTCACAGGACGTCACCAGCACATAAATCCGGAGGTCAAACTTGAACCCGTCGATGATAAAGGGCTGGCAGGAGAGACACAAGTATTTGAGGTGAAATCCAACGTCTAGATCAGAATGCAGGTGTGGCCAGGGCTGTGGAGGGGCACAAGGGACTTGGGCTCTATAGCCCCCAAGGTGACCACGTCACTAAACCACACTGCCCCTCAATTTTCTGGTCTGTCAAACGGCACTAAGCACCACCTCCAAGCGATCGCCTGCCAACTAATCAAGGTGACGCTAAAGAGTTCTGCCATGGGCCCTCCGAGGTGGCACAACAGGTTAAAGTGCAGCACTGAGGAGCAAGGAGCAGCCTCTTCAGGGTGCGTTCAATTCCCGGCCGGAGCTGACCCACATGGCCCCGCAGACCTCTCCTGACCCGCCCGCTGCTCCCCACAGCAGTGGACTTCATCAGTCGGCCTGTTCTGCTCCCCGCTCTGTCTCTGGGGAATCTTCTCACTGCCCCTGCCCCTCAGGCCTGTACCCCAGTTCTGTATGCATAAATAATAAATAAATCTTTTTATAAAAAGTCCTGCCATGAAGGATATGCTGTCCATATCCAGGGCTGTGCTTCTGTTTCATACCCGCAAGAATTCTCCCTGCCAGTGCCCCCCTTCCTCCACGCACCCTTCCCACAGAACCCTCCCCTCAGCGGGCCTCACCCTGTGACCTCGGACCTACAGTCACAGAGTAAAACTGGTTGCCATTATCTCTCCTGGAATATTCCCCTCTTCCCACAGGACAAAGGTGCCCTCCGAATGACGGCTGTTATGGGCAAGCGGCCAGCCTGGTCAGGCCAGACCAGCGGCTGAGGGTGCTAGGGCAAGAGAAGCTCTGGCCCAGGTACACGTCGCTCCCCGATCAGAGGGCTCAGCCTGACAAATCAGCCTCCCCCCACCCTTACCCTCTGCTCCCTCAGCTCACGTTCCATCCAGTGTGGCCAGAGCCTGAAGTTGTATGGGCGATAAGTAAATAATCACAAGGAGGAAGTACCTTTGAAATATAGAGCTGACAGATCATATCCTCCCCTGGTTTGATTTCTTTCACTGTCCGGGTGATAAATATACCTCTTCCTTGGCAGCCTGAATCCGGCTTGCAAATGTATGTCTTATTTTTTCTTGACCTGCTGTACTTCTGCAAATCTCCCCAGCTACCAGAGCAGGGAGGGAATGAGAAGGAGATGCACCTTTAGCCGGGGGAGCAGTGAAGAGGAAGCACAGCCCTTTACTTAAAAAAAAAAACAAATAGGCCCTCCCTGGTGGCACAGCAGGTTAAAGCATAGCACTGAGAAGTTAAAGCCACTTCCGCATGAGTTCGATTCCCGCCTGCCCCGGAGGTGACCACATGGCTCAGCAGACCTCTCCTGACCCGCCCGCTGCTCCCCTCAGCAGTGTACTTCGTCGATCTGCCTGTTCTGCTCCCCACTCTGCCTCTGGTGAAGCCTCTCACCACCCCTGCACCTCTGGCCTGTACCCCAGTTCTGTATAAATAAATAAATAAATCTTTTTAAAAAAATAAGCAAATAAACTCATCTGCCTAATGTGACGATAGCCCTGAGAGGCCCTGCCATAGGAGACACAGAGGGGTTCACACCATCGAGAGACGGGCTTGCGGGACTCAGGCCTGGGTGTAAGCCCAAGCAACACCATCACCAGCCGGCGGGTCCTTCACAAGGACTTGACTCTCTAAGCCTCAGCTCCATCGTCTATGCAGTGAGCTTAATGCCGCTATCTCTCATGGTGACTGGCCACATGACCCAGTGCGGGCGGCTACGTGCTGTGCACTCTTAAAAGGAGCTATAATCCAGGGCACCGGGTTCTCTGGGGTTGCAGAAAGGAGATCTGGGCTCCAGATCTGACAGAGGCCCCGACAAGTGACAGCCTTGGCTGGGTCAGTCTGTCCCATTTGTAACTCCAGCTCCAGCCAGAGCGTGAGTGCAAAACCTATCTTTGAACGTACATGGAAAAAAGTATCTTCGGATGGAATAAGCCAATTTAATGGACTGTAAGTCAGCCTCGCTCTCCTTCTCGGGTTGCATTTTCACTCCAAGGGCCTTGAGGGAGAGGGGGTGGGGAGGGAGTCACTCAGAAGCCAGCCTCCTCAGTGGCCATGAAATTGGGAGGCGCCTGTTGACCTGATGGCAAACACATTTTCTTCTAAGTTGATGCTAAGGGCTCAGAGTTGCTCTAGACAAGCCAGAAAGGCTGGAGCCCTGTAGATCCTGGTTGGGGGGAGTCCGGGATGGAGAGGGGACAGTGGGATTCCTCCAGGTCTCGCATATGACTGTAATTCTGATGGTGAGGCCTCTCTGCCCTCCTTCACCTCACCGCAAATAGCAGACTGTGTCCAGACCCTCTCACACTTCTCCTGTTTCTCCGGGGTATGGTCCAGGCTATTTTATGTGTGGGGAATGGAAGTTTGGTCTCAGGAAGGATAACCTGGGGCCAGAGCAGGGGAAGGGCTGACTGCCCTGAGACAGCCCAGACCCAGCCCTCCCTGCTCCTCACCTGGGCGCTACCTCTATCTCACTCCCTCGGAAGCGCTCCCCACCCTTAACAATCCAGAAATGTAGAGTTAAAAGGTTGGCACAAGTTCAAAATCCACAACTTTCAGGATCAGAACAAATTCTCTTCCCAGCTCCTGGCACAGGCCCTCAAGCACCCAGCCCTATTTCACCTATTTTATAGGCAGAATTTTGTGTTTTCTAAACCTTTGACACATACAGGCTTTATCTTTCTCTTCTCCAAGAGGAGAGAGAGGTGGGTGCTCAGCTGGGAAGGAAAAGTGGCAGTGGGGGGTGGGGGGGGGCAGAGGGCATGCAGCTGGAAGTAGCACCGTGCAGGAGGGAGCACGGAGCACTCACTCGGCAGGGAGACACCAGGTCCTGGGGAAGAAGTGGAAATCTTTAGGGAACATCTTCAACATGCGGCCCATGTTCCTGGCCAGCAAGTCCTTGCGGCAGATCTCGTTCATCCCAGGGAAGTGATTGATTTTCTGCAAAGGAAGTCAGAATTCGTGAACAATGGGGGAGATGGGAATACCCATCAGTCCCTCTTAGCGGACAGTCGAAGAAAAAGGGATCCCACTCACCGGGGGCCACACTTCTACTCAGCACCGGCTCCGCCCCAGTACCTGGTAGCTTTTCATTTCCATCACGCGCTCCAGTGACACTGAGTAGTCAGTCCAGTAGAGGGTCCAGTCATCATTTTCCCCGCCCTCTCGAAGGCCATACTGCTGGGCGGCCCTCCTCACTGCCATGGAGTTGGAGCAAGAAAGGCCTGTTAGCCTGGAAAGTGGGGGAGGAGCATGGGGTGGGAAGGTTATGTTTCTTGGGGCTCCCAGACCAAGCCTGACGGGAGACACCTCGACTCCTTGGGCCGAGAGGCCATCTTGCCCCAGTGGACACACCACTGCCAAGAAAGGAAGGTGGAGAGTTGAAGCTGTGCAAGAATACAGCTTATGTCCCAGGGTCCCCACCAAAGGGGATCTGGAATGAGGGTTTCACCAGCGCAGCTTCCCCTCGCCAGGAAGTAGGCCTCTGGCTTTCCTCCAAACACTAAGCCCTGAATGTTCAGGGAATATAAACTAATCCTTAACATCACCAGAGTCAAGCTTAATTAGTAAGGTAAATGGACAGAAAACAATTAAGCAATGTATTTCCAAACCACATATATGCTGTCACATCCTTCTCCCCCTTCCCTGTTTGTATTAGGAACTGGCAACTGATTCCAATACAAACTCAAAATGCCTTCAAGGCCTGGAGAGGCAGATAAGCTTGCAGTGGTTGGGAGACACGGGCCAGCTCACAGCATTTCAAAATGAAAAGGACGCCCACACTGTGCTCTACTGCACACAGTAGGTCTGTAGGTCATCAGGCATGGGCTCCAGCCTGTGGCTTGTGCTCAGAGAAGCCCTGACCATAGCAACAGCTGCTTCCTGACAACCAGACCCCAGATCACACCACATAAGCACCAGTGAGAATCCTCACCATGGCAGCAAAGCCCCTGTTTTCTTGGAAGGAGATCCCCAACTTCCTCAGATAGTTCACTCAGCTGGAATATACCAGAGTGAGCTCTCCTGCCTGCCTGAGGACACACAGGTGCTCTCTTTCTTTCTCCTTCTCCTAATAAATCTGTCCTTTTAAAATGTAAAGAAGAAGAACATAGAATACTGTCTTCTCTCTCTACTTTCTTCTCTCAGGTCCCTGGGGGAGTCCAGGGGGTCCCCACCTCAGACAGACCCCTCAGACAGATGCTCACCACTGTCGTATCGGCAGTTGGACAGATTGATCACCAATCATCTGGAAAAGAGAAAAAGGAAAGCAGCAAGACAGAGACAGACACGCCTGCCAGAACAAGTATGTGCCCAGAGGCACGGCGGGAGCCCAGCTGGAGCGTCCCACCTGCCGCCCAAGGCCTGGGTTACTGTCCCCTTCCGGAGGACACGGCTCAAAAGGGTGGGTGTCGGTACTCCCACTCTGCCCCAGGCAGACATTCTGCATTGTAAATGTAGCTTGGTGCTTCAGCTCCTCTGACACCACCACCTCCTCCATCCTTTTACTCCCGGGGCCTATCAGGGACAGACACTGAAAATGTCTGTGGCCAAAATACTCTTTGGTCGTCTCCCCCCTCCTCCCTCCACTAAGGGACACTGTGAGTTAGAAAGGGGACAGCTCGCAGGCCTCAAAGAGTCTGAGCAGTGACCCATCTCCCCCCAGAATGGAGCATGCATGGCAAACCCCGAAACAAGACCCTGAGTGAGAAGCGGGTGGGAGCCCGCGAGGGCAGGGCGCTGAACCGGCTCAAAGGGCCCTCCATCGCCAGGGCCTTGGGCACCTTCTCAAGAGGAGATAGTCTCCCACACACAGTTTTGTTTATTAATAAAAAAAAATGGGATGAGGATTAGCACAAGGTGTGGTTTTAGAATAGACACCATAATTTGATTATATAAAGCAAATCCTCGACAGTGCGTTCTTGCTACAGTGAGTCCGAAGAGCTGCAGTCGAGGCACAGGTCAGCCCAGCCCAGCCCAGCCCAGCCCAGCCCGCGTTCCTCTGCCCTTCTTAGCAGCAGCGAGGGCCTCCTTCCCCACAGATCCCATCCTTCAATCCTAACCTCTTTTTCTTCCTCTTCTTCTTGCCTTGCTGCTGGACATTCTGAAGGCCCTTTTGGGCCCCGGTGTTCTCTCTCACAAAAGCCAGGGTGAAGATTTCTTTGGCCTCTTCTATGGAACTGCCTTCCCTCTCCTCGGAGTCTGTCCCTTCCTCACCTACCAAAGGCAGGCGCTGGGGCATCTCTCGTGCAGGGCAGAGGCTCTGGGGAAACGCACCCTCCCCCTGGAGAGGGTAGAAGGAGCAGCAGTTACTTGGATCCACCTGCAGGGGGAGCCCCTACCTTGCTCATGTGAGTGGTGGGCCAGGGCTTGGCTACCAGGCAACAGCTTTCCTATTATAAAATGCCACCCCCCTGCAGAGGTAGTGGCAGCTCCGGGAGAGGGCTGATTCCACCTTTTGCCACTGACTATGACCTTGGGGATTCACTCAACCAACTCTGGCCTTGCTTTTTTCCCACCTGGGGTTCTCAGTGCTGGCTGAGATGCTATGCATGGCACCAGCTGGTAAACAAACTTATTATTAAAGTAAGTGTCTGGAGACCGCCCCAGAAGTCAGCCCAAAGCCTCCCTAGCTGAGGGAGTCCGTCCCAAAGGGTGCAGAGGAGGTGCTTGGAGGAGGTCCATTAACTGCTTGGGTCCTGCACTGCTCCTCCCGCACAGATCTGAAAGTGACTAGACGGTTGCTGATTGTTCGTGTGGTCCAGCGCTGACTGAACAAGACGGACATCCAGGAGCAGACCCAGACCGTCACAGACCCCGGCCACAGAAAAGCTGCCGCTCCCCTGTGACCAAACTGAAAACAAGACCAAACTGTACACCTCTAAGGATGTTCAGCAAAGGGCTCACCCCCACCCAGTAATGACTTCTTTGATGTTTGCTTGGAATTTCAAATGCTTTAGTGTGTTTAATGCTTCTGGCTGCCTAACCCTTAGGAATGCGCTTCGTTCTGCTCTTGGGTAACCCAGAATGCCCACTTGGCTCACTCATACCCCTTCCCAGCCAAGGCTTCGGTGACAGTCAGCCCAAATCCTGGTGTCCCCCACTCCTCACCTCACCTCCAGAAACACTGCCAACTTCTCACCTTTCAGCCCCCCTTCTTGGAAGCCTGTAGCCCTCTTAACACTTATTCCCATTGTTCCCTCACAAACTCACGGGTTTTTCCCCCAAAGATGTTAGTAATATCTTCATTATAATTTATTTATTGGTGTTGATATAACATTAAAGGCCAGTTAGAAAGGGTAGGGAGGGAAATCACCTATAGTTTTTCTACCCCAACCTAACAACCTTGATTCTTTGTGTAATTTCTTTCATTCTTGATTTTCAACCTAACTATTCTCACCACTCTCCTCAAAACATAAACAATTTGTATCTGCTTTTTGCCCTCTTTGTATCATATCATAAATTTCCTTTGGGATATGGCACCTTCCACATGCTTCTAGTCTTTTTAACAACATCCCATTGAAGGAATGCCTTACTAAATTTAACCAACCAATGCATTATTGCTGGCCACACAAACTGCTCTTGATTTTTCCATTTTAAATAGATTTAAAATGCACACTTTTAATGTAGAAGGCCATTTATTGCTTTCGGATTATTTTCTAAGCTTCTATCTAGAACCAGGATCAGCAAGTTAATGAATAGGAAAACTCTGAGGCCTCTGATATCTATGTATATGTTTATTTATATCACCATGTTGTTTCCCAGAGGGATTCCACTAGAGCCTACAGCCAGCAACCTGCCATTAGACAGGCTCACACCACCGCACAAGCTCTTGGGAACTGTACCCCTGAACCCACACTTGCTAATTCTAGACAAGCTTTATACCCCACAGCCATGTTTTTAATATTTCTACACACTTCCACCACTCTGCCCCTTTCCCAAGCCAAAATTGAGGGTGGGCAGCACCTCTAACTCAGAGCTACCTACAAATAATGGGCCCTTATGTGGGTATAGTTCTTCAGGTATTTCAGAGAATCATCACATACACCGTCTCATTGAATGTTCACAACTACCCCAGAAAAGGAAAGCAGAGTTGTTAAGACCACCAAGGATTGCGGCGTACTTCTCTCTCGCTGAGGAAGCTGCCACTCACACCCAAGTCCTTTCATGCTAACACCTGAGCAAGGGACAGAAAGAGTTGTGTTCGGCACAACTAAGCAATGAAACACCTGCTCCACTGAACGGGCACATTCTTGCAAAGTTCAAGAGGATTAAGGTACAGGAACTCTTGACCTTGGACTGCTCCCTTTCTTCCAAGTAAACCTGCAGCTCCACCCCTACCCTCCAGCTGGCTCCTATTTACCAAGCCCTGGAGGAGTGGCTCGGTTTACCCAAAGGTTAATGCTAACTTGAGAGAAAATGACCCCAAATTGGATCGCTGGAGTTGCCGCTGTTTTGCCCTTTTTGAGTCCTTGTCCAAGTGGTAAGAATAAGCCATGGCTGTTTTTATTTGTCTGCCTCAAACTGAAGAACCCCTGTAATGGTTTCCTCTTGTGTGGAAGGGCACCAGACACATAGAGTCAGAAGCCGGTCTATGGATTTTTAAAAGAACCTGTTCAGTGAAGCATTCTTGCTTTTGTTCCCCTGCATTCTAGGCTACCTGCGGCACCAGAGGTCACCTGGATGGCACCTGAGACAGGTGCAAGACATCAAACAATAACAATAGTCATTGGCATATGTCACCATCGTTGCTTTTTCAGTCTTCTTTCTCCCTGCCCTAGACCGCCACCCCACCCCGGGCCCCCAACCCTCTACTTCCATTCTGCTCTCTAAGGCCAAGTCCTGCTGGCTTTTCTTCAAAGTCTCCTGACAGGGACTATCTCCAGGCCCTCCCTGGTGTTGCAAGGGGTTAAGTCTCAGCGCTATAAAACTATCAGCAGCCACTGCAGCACAAGATCCATCCGTGACAGGACCCACATGGCGCAGCCGACCTCTCTTGTCGCCACTGCTCCCCTCAGCAGTGTATTTCAGTAGATCCTCCTGCTCTGCTCCCCACTCTGTCTCTGGTGAACCCTCTCACCCCCTGCACCTCTGGCCTGTACCCCAGTTCTTGTATACATAAATAGATAAAAATATTTAAAAAAAAAAAAAAAGAGAGAGAGAGAGACTATCTCTGAAAGGCTGCCTTTGGGGCTTGCACCCTGAATATAGCTTGTAGAAACAGGCCACAGTTGTGTGTTGCTGTTATAGTTGTTAAACAGAAGTAACTGATGATAACTAGGAAAAGTAAATTTCTCACAAAAACCCAAATTTCTCTTTCTTTTGACAAGTTGGTTCTCATTGCTTCATTCCAGCCATCAACCAGGCCCAGGTAATGGCTACCTCTTTAGACATTTTCCATTCTGCCTCAGTCCCTAACATTCCCTATTGTCTCCCAGATACAGGAGCTGAGTGGCAGTTACCCTTGTGCTGTTATTTCACTTCTAACATAACATGAGAGGGAACATTTCCTCACACCCATAACACCACTCTTGTTTAGGCTACATGTCTGCCTCTATAAACCAAATTTTCCAGTCCTCCTCTGGAAAATATCTCTGGCCTCCAAGCAGTAACAAGTTAGAACAAAACTGCTTTCCCCAGGGCTGTTCCAAAAAAAAGTTAACGCCCCCATTTTCAGAAGAATTAGATTTGATCTAGCTGAAAACCAAACCCTCTGAGTCTTTTCAGATGTGGGCCTTATGACTTACGTGGTTCTACCAGATGTCTCTTACTCAATCTCAGCAACAACTCTCTGCTACCCCAGGGCTTCCCACCCACTCTGCTGCCTAACAATTTGGCTGTCCAGAGCAGTATGGTAGCTTTGAGGAATCAAAGGAGGGGGAGCGAGAGACCTGAAAGACAAGTCCTAAAGAGAAAATCGGAGACTGAGATATACACACATGTAGTTAAGGACCTCTGTGTTCAGAGACGTGGCGTGACGCACTTTACAGCAGCAGTGTGGTTGCTGAGAATGCAGATTCTGGAGTCTTTGTGCCTGGATCTAAGCCTTGATCTGTTACTGCCTAGTTATGTGAGCGCAGGCAAGTCACTTCACCTTCCTCTGCCTTAGTTTACTCATCTGTCAAATGGTCTGCCCTAGCTATGGGACTTAGGTCATAATTCATTTGAAATAATACACTCAAAATGTTTAAAACAGTGGTACACAGTACAGTGTGCTATCTATTCTTAACAGAGGTGTGGCCCTGGACTGTGAATAGCCCGATAGAAGAGGCTGTGTCTGAATTCTCAGCTGCTCCAGTGTCTGGCACTTAGTGAAGGGCTGTGTACTTTCTGGGTGGATTAGAAGAGTGAAGAAATGTATGGACTAACTTTGCCTTTTTAAGGTTCATTTTACTCATCTGTATAATAAAGGTTGCTGTGCAAATTAAGTAAATAACATTTTTTTAAATATTGGCATTGGGTCCTTTCCTATAGCAAACAAATGCTTAAAACACTTAAGTTTCATTTACTTATAACAGTAGCTACCGTGTACACACCACTCACTGAGTGACAGGCATTATATAAAACCCATCATATACACAAAGCTTCACCCTAGCACAGAGTACAGCACAGACATTATCTTCCCTCCATTACAGATGAGAAGACCAAGGCAGGGAGGGATTAGAAACCATGCCTGACTAACCCACAGCCTGACTCTCCTTCACACGCCACGGTTTTCTCTCTGCTTATCACCGATAAACAGCATGACAGTAATGTGAAGTAACTGAACTCTTAGTTGCCAGGAGTCTGGGTGACTTTAGTTGCTTAGAATCAGTTGGGGGACCTTCCTGATGGTGCAACAGGTTAAAGCGCAGCACTATGAAGCTGTCCACAGTCACCGTAGCATGAGTTCAATCCTGGGCTATGGGGGTGACCCACATGGTGCAGCAGAACTCTCGTGTCTTGCCCACTGCTCCCCTCAGCAGTGTATTTCACTTGATCTGCCTGTTCGGCTCCTCCCTCTCTCTCATGGATTTTCTCACCCCTATACCTCTGGTCTGTACCCCAATTCTTGTGTGCATAAATTAATAAATCTTAAAAAAAAAGAATCAGGTGGTCTCATATCATTTTCCATAAATCCAACTGCTTCTAAATTCCCACCTCCAAGAAGAGGCCTGACTCGCCCTAGATTCTCCATAACCTGGAGTTTCTATTATTTCGTCTTTGTTTTTATTTTTACTCTTTCCTTTCTTTAAACCAATGTCCACATGGTACAAGGGCTTTTATTTTGGGTGTAGTTAGAACATTTTCTAAGCTCTTATGGAGCATATTATAATTGGAAGGTTCTTATGAATGTGTCCAGTTCTACCCACTTGCTTTTCTTAGAGAAGGTTTGGAACGCCCCCTCCCCACAACTAGGTGAGGGGATTTGCCTATGACCAGTACCCAAGTCAACAGAGCCAGGACTGCAGCCCAGCCTCTGGCCCCCTCTTCTTATCTGTCTATTATGTCAGGTTAGGGGTAGGTCATGTGAACTAAGTGCTCTGAGTTTTAAATAGTAGATTAAATCGTGCTACCAATGTAGCAAGTGTAGTAACTATCATCTTTGGTTTTTCTTACTGACATACGACACATTCAGTTGACCTTTCCAAAGAGGATAGTTAAAGCAGTGGGGATGGGGTGAAAGCGATGTTTCCTTAAATTTTAGATAGGGTTTGATCTTGGGATCTTTCAGGTGAGAAGCAGCCAACCAAATTCTGATAATGGCTTTTACTGACCAACAGGGGGGAGAGAGTGAGCACTAGGATGGCTCCCTGCAAACACTTCGCTGGCTATTTGGAAAATCTCAAAGGAGGGACCAGGTCTCATTTCAACTTCTGAAGGACTATACATGTTAGGGAGACCTCTTCCCCTAAAGGTGTCACAGAATGGTGGGACGTGTTCACTCGTTGTGTGTTTTTCATGCAAGGTTGAATTAACATGGATATCCTGCAACCAGGAGGAAAGAATTTGATGGTTGATTAAGTAATAAAAACCTTAGGAGTACATGTTTCAAGCTTTAGCCAAGTGTTTTCACCCTGAACATCACACCTAGACTTCTCTTAGAGTCTTTAGCATACATATGGCACTGAGGAGGTTTCCTACTGTGTCTGTGCAGGACTTCCTTCTCTTCCTGCGAGTAATAGGTGTTCCTGCCTCTCCACCTCCCCTTTTCATCCATGAGTCCTCATTCCCCTGCTAGAAGCATCCCTCTGAAAACCTCCAGTGGCTAGTTCTTGGAAAAGACAAAGTGGATGGAGGGAAAGGAGATGTGGAGGTAAGACCTTGCAGCTTTTCTCTTTGACTTAGTATGTCTTCCCTCTCATCCCCTAGCTTCCCTGTGATTACAAAGTCACCAGGAAGAAAAAAGCTTCAGATGTAGAAATGTCTTGTATTTTGAGTTCTGGTGCACAGGATAAAATGCTTACTTATGGCCTTTTGGCTTTTCATTATAGCCACCCCTTGAGTTTCAACACAGTTTAAATGGGGGGTCTTTGGCAAAATGCTAACTAATTAGGGAGAGGGGAGACTCCACTGTTCAAGGGCTCTGCCAGTAAGAAGTGCTGACAATGAGCCCCCACATTCACTGGGAACAATAAAGAGTCTTGCCAACTTGAGGGTCCTCTTTTATTCTGCTAGGAATTGAGGAATTCTGTGAGATTGGAAGACACAATTTTCAGGTCAGGCTCTACACAGCCATTTTCTCCATAATAACTCTGCATTATTCTCACATAATAACTCACTGCATTATTAACAAAGACAGGCGGATCTCGATCCAAAGGCCAACTCTACCACTTACGAAAAGGTGACTTGGGTGAGTTAACTGAGTCTCTGTACCTCATAATACATAATACAATAAAAGGTGACATTCAAGTCCACATAATATGAGATTCCTCATAAGTCAAATGAGGGTAATAAAAACAATTCATTTCATGGGGCTGTTTTAAAGATGGAGTTAAGGTTTCTAATGCTCTTAAAGGAGTTTGGTTCAATGTAAGGGGCTGTGGAGTAAGATGAAACTAACTATACAAGAGGACTGGGGTGCGTAGTAAATAAATTATTGAAGGGCCTGGAACATACCTGTGCTTACAGTCGTTACCTCCTTCCCACGTCATCCCCCAAATGTAAGTTACATTTTTCCTAGGGTCCGAATCCCACAGAACTTTCCTCAAGCCCAGGAGAGTTTTCCCTCAAGTAGGTGAGAAATAACAAAGAAAGGAAAATGATCCAGAGAAGGACCCGGTGACCGAAAAGGAGGAGTAAGTTCTGCGCTACACAGAGATCTCTGGGACAGTTTCCTTAGGATTCGGGTTTGGGAAGTCGACGAGGGGCAGGAACTGAAGGGTGCACCGGGAGGGAGACACGGGTGTGGGAGAAAGGTGGGGAGAGGAGGGAGTATGGAGCTGGGAGAAGAAGGTTGAGTTGGGAACCAGGTCCTGGCATTGGGGTGACGAGCTTTAGCAAAGGACGAATGAGGGTATTTTAGCGGCGAACGCGAGTCTGGGCGGGGAAGAGGGCGAGCGTTAGCTGGAGACGCTGGGAGAGATGAACAGCCGGAGCCGAGGCCCCTGCCGTAGAACGCCACCAGGGCGAGCAGAGGGCAGCTCTGGGGACTGGGCACCGTCGGGGGACGTGGGCGGGGGTGCAGACCAGATTTTCAGTGGGGAGCCACAAGGAGACCGCAGTCTGGAGCTAGCAGCGGACTCCGGGGCTCTCTTACCAGCGATCCCCTCTCCCCTGTCTCGCCCCGGCTCCGCCGCCCGTGTCGCTCTCACCACACTTTCGGGTCCCCACTTCGAAGGATCCAGGAGACACGCTGCCAGGCTGCCAGGCTGCCAGGCTGCCAGACAACCCCAACCCCAAACTGCGCTCCGCCCAATCTGGTCCCTCGGGCCCTCTGATTTGCATGTGAGGCTTTCTAGACCTTCGATTGGTCGCTGCGGTGAGACACCACGCCCCCTGCTCCCGAATCAAAATAACCGCCTCTGCGCTCCTGGAGGGCGGCGCCGGAGGTTGTCCCGGGAGACGCCGAGGACGCCGGATCAAGCTTTGCGCGGTAGGCGCTACTACCACTCATCCTACGCCCGTCCCGCCCAGCCGCATCGCTTTACGCCTCCGTCGCCCACCCCGCGCCGAGGTCCGCGTCCCCTCCGTGCCCTCCGGTCCGTTCCGGCTTGGTGCTGTGGGCAGGTGCAGCGGAATAGCTGGGCCAAAGCAGGTCCCAAACGTCTGGACAGCCTGGGCTGCACTGGGAAAAGGCCACCTTGGACTTAGGTCTTCTTAGAGATGTATATATCCAAACCAGGAAGAAGAGACACCTTGCAAAGTGCTTGGGATTGAGACCCAAGTCATGATCTCTATCGCAGGCATATCATTGCCTGCCTATCTGAGGTTTAGCTTCTTAACAGTAAAATGAGTAACACAAACCTGTAATAAATCGCCCAACCTTACTGAATTATGACATCTTCTCCAGGCTGGGGTGGGTGGGCATGGCCCTTCCACTGAACTGGTTTATAAGGGAGGGCCACCCAGAGGGCTCAGGAGTATTGACTGTCTTCAGACAGGTGAGGCATGGGAATAATGATAGGATTCAAATAGTTCTTCCTTTCTATGTGCAAGGCCCAGACTCCTGCTAGCAGGTCTCCTGCAAACTGTTTGTCTGGGTTAATTGAAGAGGGACTTACAAGTCCTGAACCATCAGTGTTTTTAGTAAACTCCCTTTATGGATTAAGCCAAAGATTCTTAATCCAGGTCCTTCTTCCTTCCTTGGGCAATTTCCAGATGCTTGCCATCATGTTACTAAAATGCAGTCCCAAGGAGTGAGACTTAGAAGATTACTGGCTGAAGGATACATAAAACACCAGTTCAACAGGAAATAAGCATCTATGTTAATTGCTGCACTACTTACAAAGCCAAAGTATGGAAACGACCTGTGTCCAAAAGCATATGAGTGGATCAGGAAGGGGCAGTATATGTAAACACTGGAATACTACTCAGCTCTAAAAACGACATTTCTTGCCATTTATGACAATATGAATGGAAATGGAGATTATTTAGCTAAGCTAAATAAATCAGAGAGGGGAAGATAAATACTGGATGGTTTCACATATATGTGGAATATAAAGAAACAAAACAAAGGGTCAGATAAAATAAAACTGATAACAAACCTTAGAAATCTGATGGTAGAAGTGTGGCTACCATGGGTGGAGGAGGGTTGAAAATAGTGGAAAGGGGATACAATGGACTGTGGTGGTGGACTATGGGTGCTTGGGTGGTGGGTGTGCTTTAGTAACAATTCCTGAAGGGGGAGATCTCAAACCTCCAAAACAACAATTTTGTTTTTGTTGTAATCCAATGTTACCACAGTCACTATTTTTAGGTCCGCCCTGGTGGTACAACGGGTTAAAGAGCAGCAGTACAAAGCTATAAGAAGCCACCTCAAGAGAACTGGATCCCTGGCCAGGGAGCTGACCCACATGGCACAGCAGACCTCTCCTGACCTGCCCACTGCTCCCCTCAGCAGTGTATTTCAGTGGATTTGCCTGTTCTGCTCCCTCCTCTCTCTGGTGGATCCTCTCACTGCCCCCACAACTCTGGCCTGTACCCCAGCATTAATAAATAAATCTTTTTAAAAAATATATTTTTTAAATTAGAAAATCCCAGAAAGGGACACCTTTCATCTTAACCCCTATCCCCAAAGCAACTATCTCAGGATAATTCTGCCAATAATAAAACATGTCCCTTTACCTAAAAAATAAAAGTAAAAAAGCTTACAGGGTCTCTAGTCTCTACTGAGGATGGAACTCTTTGGGCATTTGAAGCAAGACACACAAAAAGAGGGAGAGAAAGAGGACCTTCTCAGAAAATCTATAGGCAGAGAGAGTGGCATTTGGAGGCTCTGCAGCTGAAAGGTGGAGCATGCTGGTTCATTCTGGAAAGTTTCCTGGAGGAAGAAAGCTTTTAGCAGATTCTCTGGAAATATTGTGCCTCACCAGGGAGCCCGGGACCTCATACTGTGCTAAAATAATGGGAAAATGGCTGGGGAAGCAACTTTAAAGTCCTCCAGTAGATATAGAAAGAAATCTTCCTGAATTTCCCTTATCTGAACAAAAGTGAGCTTTAAACAGTCAGCTGCCACAGCTCCCTGCCTCTCATGTCCAGTCAGGGAGGTTCCATCTGTGGACACATGTTCCATCCATGGGCAGTCCACCAAAATTGTGTAAACAAGCTCATCTGCACTTGCTATCCTTTGAAGACATAGATGCCTACTGCTCCCTTAGTAAGTAAGTTAAGGATAAATCTTTATCCCCAGCTAATTGAAGAGCTCTCACTACAGAGTGCTCTGATACATATGAATAAACCATATGAATAAACTTGGTTACCTTTTAGAACTAAAATTGTAATAGGACAGGTTTCATGGACTCTGCCCCCACTTCAGATACTGGAACTGCAAAATCCGTCAATAACAAGGAGAAGCACGCTGGGATGTGAGGGCGGAGCTGAGCAGCCATGTTGGCATAAAACCGGACATGTCGGCCCTGGGAGGCGCTTGGCCTGGTGGTTCACGGCTGGTCATTTTGGCTCTAGATTGGTTTTCAGCATTCCGGTGGAGTCCAAGTCAGCAGAACTGGTAGGACATCCTAGCTTAACTCGTATTTCTCTCCTTTCCCTGGGTTGTTCTTTTACCTTTCTCCTTATAAATAAATGCATTATTTAACCTTTTTGAGTGTGTCCATAATACAACTGAATCGTAAGCACGCGGGTGAGGAGGACTCACAGACAGGCAACCCAATTCACATTGGGGTGCTCTGTAACAAAATCACAGAGAGAAAGATTTTTCCCAACACAAGATGCAGTCACTTCACATGCTGATTCACCCAGACTGGAGGTTCAAAGCAAAGGTGTGGTTTAAACCCAGGCGCACTGACTGACACTCAGCCATGCTACAGGGCCCAAGGTGGAACCAGCAGCTTACCTGTACCTGGTTCAGAAGCCCCTGTCATTCTTGTCTCTCCTCTTTTCCCTTCAAGTGGCCCTGGGCTATCCTGCCCCCTTCCCCTTCCAGGGCCCAGGGTAGAAGGGGAGAGGTGAAGGGGGGCAGGGGACCACCATCAACTGGCCACCCAGCAGATGCTTCCCTCAGACCAACTGTCCCAGCTCTATTCCCCTCCCCCCATCCTGGCTCTTTCTTTCCCCAGTGTCCTACCAATCTGCTCTGCCAAGCTCCTGCTTTGGTCACAGGTCCCTCTGGAGTGATATTGTGATGGAAATGAGGGAGAGGATGCAGGAGGGAGCAGCAAAGATTTATGGCTTCCAGAGGGTTTCCATTAAAATCCCTGACAACTGCTTATTTATGAGGGGGTTGACTGCAATGGGAGCTAATAGACCAGAGTCTGGCACCACTGTCCTTTCAGTAGTGTTGACAGGAACAAACACAGGGTGAACAGTAGAACTGCCCGTTACAGGGCACCCCAGTGTGAATTGGGTTGCCCGTCTTTGGGTCTTCACCCGTGCGTGCTTACGATTCAATCCTATTATGGACACACTCAAAAAGGTTAAAAAATGGATTTATTTGTAAGGAGAAATGTAAAGGAATAACCCAGGGAAAAAGGAAGAGAAATATAAGTTAACTAGAATGTCCTACCAGTTCTGCTGACATGGATTCCACCAGCATGCTGAAAATCGATCGAGAGCCAAATTGATCAGCTGCGAACCACCAGGCCAAGAGACCCCCAGAGCCCACATGTCTGGTTTTATTCCAACCTGGCTGCTCAACTCCACTCTCACATCCCAGCGTGCTTCTCCTTGTTATTGATGGGATTAGTAGTTCCAGTATCTGGAGTGGAGGTGGAGTCCATGAAACCTGTACCTGTTACACCCCCACTGTAGAGCAAAATGGGCTTTGACCCCTTGACCCCGTCAGGCACCCTCTCTGGGGAGTGACAGCCAGGAAATCAGATCTCTTGATGATTTGTGCCAAGCAAACCAGAAATAGAAAAATCCACATGGCAAACACTAAGGGACTTTCTTAGCTTGGGAGTGAACGGGATGAAGAAGGTCTCTCCGGTCATGGAAAAATTTGGATTGTGTTCATTCCCCTGAGCTCCAGCACACAGGCAAGAGGGTGTGAAAAAATAAATTAAGTAAGTCTGAGAGACTGTTGTTTTCACTGTCCTTTTGTTTCTAAGGCAGCCACCTGACTAAATAAATAAAACATAACAAAACTCTCAGAAGGTTGTTTGCTCTGTAGTTAACACACAAACTCTATTCCCCTGTTTAGGATTCTTCCTTTAAGTAGTTAATGAAAAAGAGAATCCTGCTTCTCTTCCCTAAACCGAAGTCCCTTCTGAAAGCCCTGTCTTCCTATGTGAGTCAAAAGAAAGTCTTGGTCTGTGTACCAGGAATGGGGTGGGAAGTGGAAGTAGCAACGGGCACAGAGGCTTAGAGGGGAAGTCTTGCATACGCAGGATTTGCTTTATCTGCATCCTGTGAAGGAATGTTGTAGAAATGTGTACAATTGTAACAGGGTGGTCCCTAGGAAAAGGGGAAGTTCCAGGTTCCCTGCCCCACCCAGAAGTAGGGTGGAGCTGAGCAGAGAAAAAGAGAAGAAAAGAAGGAAGCAGGATGGAGAATAAGGAGGCCTGAGAAAGCCACATGGAGCAGCAAGCATGTGATGAAGAAACCGTGCTTGTTTCCTGACTCTGGACTGATTAAGGCAGATGTGGGTGAGATCCCTGTAGGGAGGTGACTATGGCAGTGTTTATATTGATTTTGATTTTGCTCTTTTCCTCCCAGACTCATCTGGCCATTTCTGACTCACGTCCATGAGTCCCAGCCAGAAGGTGCTTTAGTCTTGTGGCAGCTTTCAGGCTTTGCTTTGGGCCAACCCCTTTTGGGTTGACTTTTGTCCACAAGGGGATGGGTAGCTTCAGGTGTTTGATTTAGAAGTTATATTCTTTGTGTTCCGTATTATTTACTGTAATTAAGTCCCTTTTCATTAAAGTTTTATATGTTTTGTCTTGACACGACGGATGGCAGAACCCACTTAGAGCAGGCAGGTTTGGGGCCTCAGGGGTATCCCTCTCTCCCTGTCCTGTAACAGATTTGGGGAGCCCTGAAACAAATTTTTGTCCTGTAACAGATTTGGCATCAGCATGTAACACAATCACAGAATCAGGTTCTTAGTTGACACAAGCTATGCAACTTCTGTCCTCAGACACGATCCAGATGGAGGGGAAATGCTCTGAAAAATCAAAATTTCCATGCTCATGTTATGAGCCCCCTTTTTTGTATAATCAAAATATTCCAAGCAACCATCCGTTTTCTACTGGACTGCCTCAGCCTCATAAGGTGCTTCCTGTCTCAGGTGAGCAAGCACTGCCCCAGGATGGAAAAGTCCTCTTGGCTGATTAATAAAAACAATTATAACAAAATTAATATTGTAAGACAAGGCAGTACTAGCATAATCAATTCTTTTACTGCCCCAAAGAGAACCCAAATCTCATCTCTCTACTGTCTCACAATCCTTCTATTCAGTTTCTAAAGAACTGCTTAAGTTTTCTATTTAGTTTTCAAATAAGGAACTTCACCTAAACCTTCTATTCAGCTTTTGAGGAACTTTGCTGTATCTCTTTGTGATTGACTTACAAGAGAATTACTCTGCCCTAGCCCACGACCTTACTCTATCCTTAACATCTCCACCCAGTCTCCATCCTTGACTTTACCCTCTAAGATGTTTTGGTAAAAATAAAGGTCATAGAGTAGCATTTTAGGTCTAAAGGAATTTTATTTTTTAGCCAACCATCACTAAAAAATGTTAGCTTTAAATTTCATGGATTTATCTTAATTTTAATAGATCAATAATGTTACAATCTTAGCTGAAGGTCTATAGGACCCCAAACTGCTCTCCGAAAAAAGATTGTGATCTCAGCCCAATTCATATGTTAATTGCTTGCTTTAAGGATATAAAATAAACTTCTGCTGAAGGCAGAATGGGAAGACTTGCACCGCACTCTGACTCCCCTTGTCTTCCTGGCACCCACTCCCCTCCCCGCCCTTTTTCCCCTTTTAGAAATCTCGGCTTGCCAGCTCCCACCTTGAGACCCTGCCTGTTCTGCCCCCCAATAATCTGTGATCGTGAACAGTCTCCGACACTTAATAAGTCAGAAGACCCCTTTGTTTTCAGAGGAGGAGACTGAGGCCCAGAGAAATGAGATGACTTGGTCAAAGACTTGTAGTGGGGTCCGAGAGCCCACCACTCCTTGCTCCACACTTTCTTGCTACTCTTATTGGCCAGATGGCAATACACATGGCTGCCCAGGACCTCTTTTAAGTCCTCCCACTCTGCTGTGTATCTGATGGGGCAAGGAGGCGACAATGAAGTTTCCAGGCTTCTTCCTCTTCCCTCTACCTCCTGGGAAAAGCAACCTTCCCTGAAAAGGACCGTTCATGATTGTCTTTAGGGTATCCTTTTCTTGGTATGGGTAACTCTTAGAAACAAGGTCCACAGGAAGGGCCTGTTTGCAGGTGAAATCGCAGGTGCATTTTCTTAAGCACTTCCTATGTATAGTTTGCTGGGCACCAGAGGATACAGACATACAGATACAGGCATTTCATGCCTTCATGCCACAACAGGAACTTCAGCGGTCTACACTGCCATTTTTTTTTTCCTTCAGCATGTTTGGAACATCCATTTCCCACTAACATTTATTCTTGGATGAGTCAAACAATATGTATGCCTATGCCTGTGAAATGAACATATGTTATGGAGTCCTCTTACAAATTGGTATAATTTTATGTGGTAAAAATAGTAATATGTAGCCAAATCTAGTCTTCCAAAGCTGTTATATACATCCAGACTCCCTTTTTAATTGTTTTATGAATAACTTAAATACTCAGTGATTACAGGATAAAGTAAATATGGTAGAATCACTTACTGAAAAAAAGAAACCAGTAAGTATAAAGTTTTATAGTAATGTAGAAAGGTTTTTTATCTAATAATAGCAAGTGAAAAGTTTTTGTAGAAGCTATAATTATGTCAAATGTGTATTTGTATGCATAAAAAAACAGAAACATCTGTCATTAAAAAAAACAGAAACAAAAGGTAAATAAATTTTCCCCCAAAAAGGTAAAAGTATGACAGATATACAAATGTTAAGATTCTATTTAACTTGTTCAGTGAAGGAAACTGTCATATACTCACTCAGGTGATTCAATTGATTCAAAAAAGCAACAGCACAATTTTTCTGAGAAAAAGAATAATAAAGAGAACTTTAAAAAGGAAGCAAAACTGTTTTTTGTTCCAGTAGGGAGAGGGAAAACCGTAAAACCTCTATCAGACCAAAACGGAAATTGCCAAATAGAAACAGAAATTGTCTTATCAATTATCTACAGTTCAGAAGTTGTAAAAAAAAAATCCCAATAAATCAATTCGAGTCAGAAAGTTAACAGGATTTTTGCTGAAAGTAGATTACGGACTGAAAAGATGGGGCGTTCTCTCTAAACTGACTTAGCTGAGTTTACCTTACTCTGGAAGAGCACTGTCTTTATAGAGTTAAATAATTATTTACAGAAGGGAATAATAAAAGGCAGAAACTGGGAAGGCTGCAACCGGAGCCATGCAACTAGTGGTCATCCCTGGGCCTTTCACCCGAACACTACAAGTCCCAGCCAGCACCGCGTGAGGGTGGGGTTTGCCGGCCGTTATGACGTTTGGGCGGGGCCAGTGGGATCGGCTCTCCCTGGGGTTTTTGGCCCCGCCCCTGTTCCCTTCCCTGCCCTGTTGCTGCTGCGCCGCCGCTGGCTGCTCCCCCTGGTGAGTCCCTGAAGTGAAGGAGGGCACTTAGGGGCAGTTGGGTGCTCAAGTTCCTCAAAGTCAGGCATCCGCTCAGTCCTGAGAAAAGGCGGAGGGAAGTACACCCTGTGTCGGTTTCCCCTCCTTCCACCTTCCCAGGATGTCAGTAAGTGGGAGTGGCGTCACCGAGCCCCCGGAGCGGCCTTGGAACGTCGTGATGCGGGGGTTGGTGGGGGGAGCAGTTTTCTCCCGGGAGGGCAGGGCTTCGGTGCTTGTGGCCGCATGGGAGGCGTCTTGGGTCGCGAGGACCCTTCTGCCAGAGCGAGGGTCTTGACGTCATGGCAACCACCGCGACGCGTCCCCACGTCAAGCCCGCTCCCGCGCGCGAGTTCCGGGTGGTTGCCTGAGCCCAGCGGTCTTCGACGTCTGCGCGTTTGCCGGGAGCGCGAGCCCTGCCCACTGCCCCCGGGCTAGTTTCTTTCTCGTGGGCCCTCCGTGCCCTGTCTGAGTCGGGAAGGCCCTTTCCCTCTCTCAGAAGGCGTCCTAGGCCCGGGAGGAGAAAGCCGCCGCCGGAGTGGAGCTACCGGCTTCCCTGGCCGCTTCCCACCGCCTCCCTCAGCCCAGTTTCGTTGGAGGGGCTCGGCTTCCCGCGCCTAGTGTGGTTTCAACCCTCCGGGGCTTCCTCACTTTTTTCGGTTTCATGAATTCTTTGCTCCTGACACAAAGCCAAGAAATGGCGGCAGCTGGAGCTGAGTAGCATAAGAGAGACGCTGTGTTCAATATCTCCGTTATTACAAAACTTTTTCATGCAGTAGGTCTTTGTAGGTTAGTGGCGCCCATGATGAGGGCTCTCCAGGCGGCTCCCTCTCAGGCATTGTCAGAGGGCCTCTACCTGAAACTCTACCCGTTAGCAAGCAAGACAGCCGCAGAGTGGAAAGGACCCTGATAAAGGCCCAGTAAGAGTCAAGTGACACAACTCAGCATTGTTTTCTCAAGTGGGATAGTACATGTACCGCTCTTTAAAATTTTGGCTCTATGTGTTGATAGTCTTGTACATCCTTGTTTTCTTAGATGAAAAAAGAATGCTTTCACTTTCTTTTTCTTTCACTTAGGATCATCACGATTAGCTGGGAAGTTTCTTAGAGGCTGTTCTAGCCTGATCCACCCATTTTACGGATAAGGAAATTGAGACTCAAAAAGGAATGAGTGTAGCTGGGCCACACTAGTTAGTGGCAGAACTAAGACAGCCCAGGTTCCCTCTGCTCCTAGCTTGGTTCGTTTCCAGTACACTTCAAATCCCGACTCTGCCCATGTTACTTCAGGGCTTGGTCACTAATGCCGTGGGTGGAAGAAGTGGATAATCTCAAAGAATCAGACATGGTACACAGCTTTGAGCTTTTCACACCGTTAGCTGCATCTCTGGTTGCATCTCGTGTCCATGCTGTTTTTCCGTTTCCCCCCAGTACTGCTTGCTCTGTGGTGAAATGAGTATTTGATTAAAACTAACTGGGCAGCCAGTCCAAACAGTTGTTAAGGAGTAGTATTAAAAGCCTCCTGGGAGGGGCCCTCCCTGGTGGTGCAACAGGTTAACGTGCAGCACCATGAAGCACACCCCAGCCACTTCACAGCGAATTCGATCCCCAGCCAGGGAGGTGACCCCCCATGGCGCAGCAGACCTCTCCTGACCCACCCGCTGCTCCCCTCAGCAGTGTTCATCAGTATGTCTGTTCTCCCCGCTCAGTCTTTGGTGAACCCTCTCACACATCCCCTCCCCACATCTCTGGCCTGGACCCCAGTTCTGTATGCATAAATAAATACATCTTTTTAAAAAAGTCTCCTGGGGGTATAACAGTTTTCAATCATTCTAAAAGATTTTTGGTACGGAACTAGAATCAACAAGGAAAATTTGGATTAGGGCAAGCAGCTCAGTGATTTGCTGACCAGTCATTGTGTCTTTGCTTTAGCCCCAGTCTCAGGGCCACGGACACACCCATGGTAGCCCATTGCCAGTGTTCTCTGAGGGTAGGTGTGTAATCATCTCTTCCAGGACCAGGGAGGAGTGGAACAACAAATCATTTTTACTAATAGCTAATAGTGTAAAAAGTTCAGTAAGCAGGATGAAGAAATCAGATTCAATGTAGGTTTTGTTTTTCGGTTTTTTTTCTAAGATGTATTTATTTATGCATACAGAACTGGGGTACAGGCCAGAGATGCAAGGGCGGCGAGAGGTTCATCCAGAGACAGAGTGGGGAGCAGAACAGGCAGATCGAGGAAGTACACTGCTGAGGAGAGCAGTGGGCGGGTCAGGAGAGGTCTGCTGAGCCATGTGGTCTCCTCTGGGCAGGCAGGAATCAAACTCATGCGGAAGTGGCCTTAGCTTCTCAGTGTTGTGCTTTAACCCGCTGTGCCACCAGGGAAGGCCAGGTTTGGTTTTTACTTTACTTTCACTGTTCCCAAGTAAACAATTGATTTGTGTTTCTCTCTTGGCTGAGGAAGCATTTGCTTCCTAATCCTGTGCACTAATTCAGAGAAACTACCTTTAATCTTTTCTTGAAACATGCCCACTGGTAGAAAAAGGCAATATAAAAATATTGGGCATTTCCTATTGTAGAATTTCAGTTCTTTTTTAAAAAGATTTTCTATATTTATTTATGCATACAAGAGCTGTGTTGTAGGCCAGAGGTGTGGGGGTAAGAGGATTCAGAATGGGAAGCAGAACAGGTGGGCCTACTGAAATACACTGCTGAGGGGAGCAGAGGAGAGAAACAGAGGTCTGCTGCACCACATGGGCAGCTCCCTGGATCAGGATCCAACTGGTGCTGCAGTGGCTGCTGATAGCCTCATAGTGCTGAGATTTAACCCCTTGCACCAGAATTTCAGTTCTTTTAATACTTCATGATTTCCCTACTTCATGGTTCAGCATACACAAGGAAAAATCCTTATGAAAATTGGCGAGCTACCTTGGTTGAATATTTGCATTGTTAGAATCTGAATGAGGAAGCTTTAAGCATTAAATTTGTTTCTGCTAAAAGCCTATCTATGTAGTTTACAGATTCACTCAGAAAGCAGAAGTAGGCTGACTATTCCTTTCCTGTTCCTTTTCTTCATAAGGATATATGCCCTCACACAACAGTCCTGGGAGTAGTATATTAGCTTTGAAAAGCTCATTAGGTGAAAATGTGTCAGATTTTTAGAAGCCAGGAGCCAGTACAGGGGACTCATTTTAGAATACATTGCCTGTTATCGCCTACCTCCTCTGAGGATTTTAATCCTTTTGGAAACTGAGCTGGAAAAAAAAAAGTAACAGCTATATCAGAGGCCAAGTAAAATACCTCTGACAGTTTATGGAATCTCTGCATTATTGCTTGATAATTTGTTTTTAAAAATCCCGATTTTTCCAGTCATTCCTTGTATATTCAAACTTTGATTTGAAGGTAAGGTAAGGAAGTAGGTAGAGTATCATTCCATGATTTCTTATTTGTTCCACTGCCTTTTTAATGACTCGGCAGCTTGCTGGGCTTCTAAATTTAACTTTTATTCTTTTTAGATGCTCTCTTCCTTTTCTCTGTGGATATTAGAAGAATTAGAAGTGAATAGTGGATGGGCTCTATATTGGGAAGAGTAGTTAAAGGAAGGGGAAGTTGATGCTAAAACATTACAATTTTGCTTCCTCATCCTCCTTGCCCCCTCCACCATCAGTCATTTGTAGGCTGCTCAGTCAGAAAGGTAATTTCCGAAGTCACTGTTGGAACCCATTTCTCCCAGGAAGTTTTGTCCTTGGGAGGAGAGAAAGGCTTCTACTTAAAAATCACTAGATCCCTTCCTCCAGGAAGAGCTGAACGAGGTGTCTCCTCACTGGCCCATTTAGATCGATGTGCTCGTGTTCTAGGTTTGCCTGTGGCCTTTGTGTCCACAGCAGCCAGAAGCCACTGCTGTTCTCTCGTCTCCCTACCTTTCTGCCCCTTCCCTACTCTCAGTAGAGAATTTTTTATTTTAAGAGTGAATGAGTTTTGATGACACAGTGTGTCAGTGGATGCCTTCTGAGTCCTTCTGGGAAAGTGTGGAAATCTGTGAAATAAGAAATTTCATGGAGTCCCTTGCATTTTTGGTAAGTAAAGAACCAAGACTATTGATTTTTTTTTTTCTTCAGATAAATGATTAGGAGGTAGAGTTTCCATTGGCTTCTGTTTACTCAAGCCTCAGAACATGAGTTCTTTCATGTCATTTTGAGTATTAGGCTGTCCTTTCTTCAGCCTTCTGCTCATAGTGTGGACTCACTATTCTAGTAAGGTAATAGAGGCTGTGACAGGCCCCTAAAACCTTGGCTGGTCAGAACAGAATCCATTTGCAAAGCAGCTTGTCAGAGTTTGTGTGGAAGGTGGGTAATGGAGTGTGAATTTTATGGGTCCTGGAGGAAATCAAATCTGCCTTTTTTTTTTTTTTTTTTTTGGCTTTGTGCCACTTGAACCAGCTATGCCAGCTGAACCAGCCTTACCAAGAACTGACATAGTAGTTGGAGATGCTCATCTCCTCATTCTATTTTAGAAAAGGGAAAGCTGAGAAACAGCCACTTCTCCAAGGATATCCAGCAAATTAAGAGCAGATCTAAAATATAAATTTGCCCCACTATCATTCACACCACTGTTTTCTTATAAAATTCCTTCCTTTTGATTTTTGATGAATTACATGCCTATCAGTCATTCACTTATTCAGTGAATACTTAATGAGAGATTAATATGGGTTACGCATTATGTCGTATTTACAGTGGTGACAGTATCCTGAAGGAAATGAACAGGTAGTGTGGTACTTTGGTTATTTGCAATACAGGCCCTAAAGTCATTCTTACCTGAGTCTTCTAAATGACCCATCTCAAAGAACAGGCTAAGTAATACTCAGATAAGTGGTGCTCCAGACCACCAGTACAAAATAGGCTTCCAAAAGCCAAGAAACTTCCATCCCATTGCACCCAAGAGATCGCACAGGCAACAGTATGCCTAGGGAACAAGTCCTGACCTAGACTGAAAGGAGAGAGCCTGCCCTCTTTAAAAAACTGATCTCGGCCCTCCCTGGTGGTGCAGTGGGTTAAAGCACAGCATTGAGAATCTAAAGCCGCTTCTGCATGAGTTCAATTCCCGCCTGCCCCGGAGGTGACCACATGGTGTGGCAGACCTCTCCTGACCAGCCCGCTGCTCCCCTCAGCAGTGTACTTCGTCGATCTGCCTGTTCTGTTCCCCACTCTGTCTCTGGTGAAGACTCTCACCGCCCCTGAGCCTCTGGCCTGTACCCCAGTTCTGTATGCACAAATAAATAAATCTTTAAAAAAAAAAAAAACTGATCTCTGAGGTTTGAGACTGAGATAAAGTCAAATTGTCTTACAAACCAGAAAGCCAGTACATTTCTTAGTCCTTAGCTCAATCCCGAGAGTAGACATTTCAGTACCCCAGAGTCCTCTTGTCTTCGCAGAGAAAAACTAACTTCGGGAGAGATGGGAGTCAGGCCTGCTTTTTAGAGTTCAGAATGAAACCAGGATATCAGAAGGGTGGAGTCGGAATGGCAGAGTCACTGTGTTTTTTGGTTATTGAACTTTTTTTTTTTTGCGCATGTATTTTTACAGTCATCCAACATGTCCCAACAACTGAATCTGTGAAGTATCATGTAGTATTTGCATATACAGCTACTTTTTCAATGTTGTTTTCATTTCCCAATAAAACCCTTGTTTGAGAGCCATGGACTCTCTCAGTGTTAGACTGGGGAGGCATTTAGAAGATAAGGTATGTGACTTCAAACCGCAGGAGTTAGCAACAGTTATTCAGCAGACTTGGCTGTTTTGTATTGTTTATTTATTATTGGGACCCTTTTGAAGGCAAAGATTGTGCCAGGGAAAAAAAAAATAAGTCAGTGAGTTAAACCCTTTCTTTAAACAATGTGCTAAGTACTTTATTCTGTCTTCACTTGGCTCTACTTTGTGTGAATTGCCTACTCCATGGCAAGCACTGATTTAAGAATAGGACACTTAACTTTATTGCAATTAATGTTCACAAAAAAATAAATGAAGTCCATGTTACGAGCCCCATTTCACAGATGAGGAACCAGGCACAGAGCCCAGCTGATTAAGTAAATTGCCCAGGGTTATGCATTTAATAGTTGATGAAGCTGCATTTTAATTCTCTTTTTCTGATTTCAGAACCCCATAGCATATCAAAAAATATCCTCTCATCCTTTTCTTCTAGAGAAGTTGACATTCTGAAAGTCATAGGGCTGTATGAGGATGAAAAATCTAAACTTTAGGACTTCAAGTTCCAGCTCAAGTCATCCCCCTCTAGACATTATGCCTTACTTAAGGCAGGTAGAAGGGAATATACTAGCTCTGAGTAGAGAGTGAGGGCATGTAGAGTAGTGGTGACTCTAGTCAGGCGCCAAAGATCGACTCTCAGAAAGTTCTTACAGGAGAGGAAGTCATGAATGCAAAATGACTCAAAGTGAAACTGAAAGCAGGTTGTATGATCTCATTATTTGTTAGCCTTTTGATTTTCCTGACTTGCCTCAAACAGAAAATCTGTGGGAAAGAGCCCAGAAATCTCCAGCATTTCAATCTTTTCTGAGCCTTATTCTATCCCATATCTCTTAACAGAACCCTACCATGGAAGAGACATTAGAAGATCCCCCCACATCAGCTGTCATGCTGGATCATTGCAATTTCTCCCAGGTCATCTTTAACAGTGTGGAGAAGTTCTATGTCCCAGGAGGGGACATCACTTGCTATTACACCCTCACCCAGAGTTTCATTCCCCGACGAAAGGACTGGATTGGCATCTTTAGAGTAAGTAGTAAATTTAGTTCCAGGTGGCTGGGAACTAAAGGTAAATCTTAGTTATTTGAGTGCATGACAATCTGTGTTTTATAAGCATTTTTCTTGTTATATTCAGCCAATTGTAAAGTTGTAAACTAAGTTCCCTAGAACTTTCCCCCTCACATTACTGACATATGCTGTGGGACTCAAATTTTAATTTCTTTCTTTTTTTTTTAAATGCCTCTTTTTTTTTTTAAGGATTTATTTATTTATGCATACAGAGCTGGGGTACATGCCAGAGGTGCAGGGGCAGTGAGAAGATTCACCAGAGACAGAGTGAGGAGCAGAACAGATAGATTGACAAAGTACACAGCTGAGGGGAGCAGCCGGTGAGACAGGAGAGGTCTGCTGCTCCATGTGGGTCACCTTCCTGGCTAGGGATCGAACTCATGCTAAAGCAGCTGGGCCAGCTTTGTTGTAATGCTGCACTTTAACCCACTGCGCCACTAGATAGGGCCCCTCATATTTTAATTTTAATTTCAATCTCAGGCTAAAATAAGATGTCACAAGGGGTTATGAAGCTATTGGCAGCCACTGCAGCATGAGTTCGATTCCCAGGCAGGAAGGTGACCCACAAGGCACAGCAGACCTCTCCAGTCTTCCCTACTGCTCCCATTCAGCAATGTATTTTTGTTAGTCTGCCTGTTCCGCTCCTCACTCTGTCTCTGGTGAATCTTCCCACCCCCCACACCTCTGGCCTGTACCCCAGTTCTTATATGCATAAATAAATAAATCTTTAAATAAAATAAGATGATATATCATACAACTCCTAAAGTTGATTGTTTTCAGACACCAAAGGTAAATGTCTTCTTAATATCCTATTTTGAAATATTCTATAATTTGACTGAGAGGGGTGACTTTTTACATAATAGCTGTAGCTTTAAATATCACTTTTTTTTTGCATATTGAAGTACACATTGTATTATTTATTTTCTTTATATTTTGTAATACAGGTAAGATTAAATACCACTTTTTTAACTTAATATAGTGTTAGTTTCTTTTCTCTTTTTTTTTTTTTAAAGATTTATTTGTGCATATAGAACTGGTATGCAGGCCAGTGGCTCAGGGGCGGTGAGAGGCTTCACCAGAGACAGAGCAGGGAACAGAACAGGCAGATCGACGAAGTACACTGCTGAGGGGAGCAGCGGGCAGGTCAGGAGAGGTCTGCCACGCCAGTGTTAGTTTCTTTTATAAATTTGGAAAGATTATTGAGAAGTTGACTTAGTTTAATATACTGCCTCCAAAAAATTCTGTAATAAGTGTTTCACTTCTTTGTAAAGATTTCCAAAGACAGAAAGTTTATGAGCCCCTCAGTGACTTCAGCCAGTGTCCAGTCAAGTCAGTTCAAGTGCAGAAATCTTGCTTTTTCCTTTTTTTCCCCTTATAGTCACTTTATTATCTACCTCCTCTCCCCCATCCCCAGTCTATGTCTCTGTCTGTCTCTCACATCACACACATTATCCTGTTTCCAGAG